GCTAGCTCTCTCATGTCAAAGATGTTGGGTTTCTATTTCTTTTGAAATCAAACTTGCTCTTTGTATCTGATTGAAAATGACGTATTCTGGGCACAGGGACTGAATGGGAAGAAAAATACAAAATAGGTAGCTTCTCGTTGTGCCTTGTAAGGAAACCACAGTCGTGAACAAAACCAGGGCTTGTTTCTTCATCACCGCCCTAGGGTGCCTCCCCCACCTCTCCTGCGTAACCGAAGACCCAGGCTCTTCCAGGCAGCTTTTACCAAATCAGAAATAGAGAACAGACACAAAGCACACCGGGAGATGGAGCACCCCTATTCCTGAGCATGACCCTGGGCAGAGGAAGAGCCTGGGAAAATGGGCAAGGTCTGTGGGAAGGCACGGGGATAAGGTAAACGCTCCTGTTACTGGATTCAGGTCCAGCTTGCTCGCCGCTCAAAAATGAATACTCGAGAGAGTCAAATATTGGTAGAAAGGAAAGTTGCTTTTCATCAGAATGCCGGCAGGCTGGGGAGATGGTAGCCTCAGTGACCACAAAAAACAACTCCCAAGCTTCTGCTCAGCCATGAACGTTTTAAAGGGAGAAGGAGAAGTCATCTTGGTTCATCACTGAGATGGGGCAGCAGACTCACAGCCACGTCCCACTGGTGCAGGCTTGCCCATGCCTCGTGCTCTTTGCTTGGATGCTGTCTTGCTTACACAGTTTCTCTGCAAGGTTGCTGAAGGGGAGGCTCGGGAAGAGATCTGGCCATTGGTCATCTGTTACTTATTCTCCATGTCTGCTGCTTTGATCTAAGGAAAGAACCAACAGGTTAGGCAAGGAATTATGTGATCACAAGGTTTTAAAGGTGTGCGGGGGAGGGGGGCCAGAGATGAGTCAAGCGTGGGGCTGGCCTGGCTTACAGTTAGTGACAAGACAAAGGAGCCTCCTGCAGAGAGCTCTTTCCTGCCAAAAGCTGCTTAAGAATCCCGCCTTGTCAGAGTATCATTCCATTTCTGTGGGATAATGGACAAAGATCTGCTTAATGTAACTTCTTGATACTGACACAGGGTGCCGTATCTTAGACTGGAAGATGTTGAGCTGGGTCTGTAGCATCTGTTTGCTGACAGTTGCAGTTGTCCACTTACATATACAGGTGGGACAAGCTACAATTATTTTGATACCCACAAAGATATAGGTTATTATGAGCAATCGTGTTAATTCCGCTCCCTTAAGGCCAGTTCTTGGAATTGTGCTGGCCATCCACTCAGTGCCACTCATGATGGAGCAGCCTGTGTCACGGCTGCAGTCTGGTCATCGTGCAGTCAGCTTTTCCCCTCTGGTGGCAATTAACGGTATCTATAAAACAACTCAGGAATGTGCATCGGATACTGAATCTGTGACTCTCTTGTCCTGATCATTAGCCACTTAAGCTTGCTCTCTGGTGGCTCAGGGAGGCCTGAAAGATTTCAGCTTTTCTGCAGACAAGAGGCAGGGCATGTAGTTGACCAAGTCTTTATGCTTGGAGGGGCCCCGGAGGGTTCTGCCCCATTCTGTTCCAGGAAAGCTATACGTGGTATGCATACACCTGGGCAGGTAGATGCTGTAGGAAGCATGGCTTTAAAGGTGACTTGACGGGAGTAGCCAAGTCTGAGTGACCTAGGGAGCGTAAGCATCAAGGTTTATTGTCCAGGAAAACGCTAGCCTTATCCTTGATATTTTAAGAGCAAAATAGTATATTTTTAGCAATATTATTGTCTTTGATGGTAAAGATGCTCCTCGTGGTGAGTAATGTTCCTGGAATGTACTTTCTGAATATACTACATGAAACATTCAGAGTTTCTTCTCGAAAGAAGTGGACAGATTTGATGACTGAAGTAAGGCCTGGATTGGGTTTTAAAATTAGCTACTGAAAGGTCACCTGACATTCCAGGGCCTTATCTCGCCTTTTGTAGGCAAAAGTGATTCATCCCCACCTCCCTGGTCCAGGGCAGGGCACCACGGTGCTCTGCTGTCTCTTCTGAAACCCACCACATCAAATTTCTTTCTCAGATCAAATGCAAGGCAGAAAGGATAGCTTTAAAAAATTCTATTTTATGAGAAACATTTATGATGTAATATTATGATGTGTAAGTGGGATATCTGGAGAAGAGAGGAAAAAATTCAGTAAGGGTAAGACAAGGTAAGACTTTAAAAAGCCAAACTGCAGTGCAATAAGATGAAGTTGCTCTTTCCAGCTCTGGAACACCTGTCTGTCTCAGGAATCACAGCTGGGCAGAGAGAAACGCCCTGGGGCTGAAGCAGTTACCTGCTAGATTAAGGAGGGGCCCCCGCCAATCCCAGATTCCTGGACCACCCCATCCTCTTCACTCTGGAGCACACTGCTTAGGGGCAGACAAGAAAGGGCTGAGTCCCGTGTTCAGAAGGCTGCTCATGGGCTGAAGACCACTTTGGAGGCCTTTCTGCTGGTCGATGCGAGGGAACTTGTGTCAGGCCCCTGCCCTCTCCCTGGTCCTTCCCGACTTTCCTGAACTTGCTTAGCAGTTCCACGTCACAGCAGCTCTAAACACCACCCACTAGCTTGCTTCTCTGCGCTCACTTTCCTGGCCCGGAGACGGTCCTGGCTCAGACCCTCAACTCCTCCCCTGTTCTCTCCTCCTCCTGAGTTGGCCCAGTTCTGAGAGTTGATGGGAAAGTCCAGATGGGCTCTCAGACCGGAGGTGGAGTCCTGTGAGTGGTGGGATGCTGGGCAAATTCCTTGTGGCCCCATGTCTCTATCTGTGAAATGGGAATGATGGTAGCGCCCTGTCAGGAGAACTAAGATAATGTGTGGGCCTCTCATCTCCCCACCTGCTACATGGTACGGGCTCAGGAAAATAGCCCTGACTAGTATAACTGCTCTTGAGAGTAACACTGTGTATGTTGGTTGGGCATGGCATTCTGTTGCAAGGCAAATAATAGATAAAGTTTTAGTGTCATCTTACAAGAGGAAACTATAGAGAAAGTTGGGGTCCCCTGTTATGTCTGAAGAGTTAATTCAGTAGTTTGGATGAAGGACTATTTGCAAGTCAGACAGCTGCTGTAATACAGAAATCCTTCCTGGTGACAAGTTGGGCCATTAACCTAATATCAGTGAAGAAGAGCATTTGGAGAAGACATTTACTTAAAAGATGACAATTTGAACCATCAGTTTTCCAGTAATTTTCGAAGAAAATTCTTAGGTTATGGTACCAGGAGAGGATTCTGGTTTCTATGCTTCTCTGTGCCTTTTTTGAGGGGTGGGGGGAAGCAGCTGAGTTAAAAGATTACAGGTATTCCTTGCTGTCCGAGCTTTTGCTGTCAGAACTCAGAAATGGAACGGGAACAGATAAACTTTTAGACAAACCCCCACTGACTGAGCTCTCACTGCTTTTACTCAGACACCAGTTTAATTTGGATAAAGCAGAGTCCCTCACAAACGTACCTCATCTTCTGAACTCTCACCATCTAAACTCAGCAACTGGGTAGATTCAGATGATAGGGGATGCTTGTAACTGATATGCTTAATAGGAGTTTGATTCATCCAAAGACAGCAGTTAGAATGTGTTTCAATGTAGTCTTTTTAAGAAGAGATGGGTGGTACAGAATGAGTTCCAGAATAAAAATTATATTGCAACATTTGCTTCAGAGAGGATTCCTGCTTGCAAGCAAGGGAAGCTGACTGAGGATGCAGAAGCCTGCCACAGGATATCGACAGGCTCTGGGAATCATAGGAGGGCTTGGAAACTGGCCCCCGGCTCATCTTCTAGAACTGGCACATCAACCAGAACTGGTCTAATGAGTGAGCATTGGCTCTGGTCTGTCCCACTGCCATTTCTGCAGCAAACCCTAATAGAACTGTCTCCACCACAGTCACCAGTGCCGCCTTCACCAGTGGAGGAGTGCCACCTCCCCACGACTGTCCCAGCTGGCCGGGGCCAGAGGGAGAAGGGGAGAGGAGAGCACTGCATACTTCCCTCCACTGCCACCAGCTCCTGATGTTGTACTGAAGGACTGGGCCCCAGCTATAAAGGAGGCTGGGCAGTAAGCTCTGGCATCCCTCCTGGAGACAGGGGACTCCTAACGCCGGAAATCCTCCAAGTGCAGGAAGGCTATTCCAAAGGCACCAGCAGCCCCAAATAGGTCAGGTGCCGCCCCAGAGCCGTGGGGTCAGTGTTTGTGAGCCATAACCGTTAAGTGGGTGGGAAATCAATGTAATGGATCAAGGCTCAGCTTACTTGCTTTCTTCTTCTATTCCTTTTTTTAAAAATGAAATAAAATAGAAGACAGAGTATGGTTGTATCACTTGTAGTAAGCGTAAGTTTCATTCTGTGAAACTTCTGTTTCCACTGTGTCCAATCTACATGGGAGTATCTGAGCTGGGTTGCCATGTCAAAGGTATTTCCCCACAGGTCATGATCAGAAGCCCCTGCAGCAGCGTGTTTCAGTGCTCCAGGGGGTTGCTTTCAGTCTCACTCCCCGCCTTACTTGTTTTCCAGGCACAGTAGTTCTCTCATTGTCAGTTCATCAGAATGTCTCTCCCTCTCCCCTCCCCCATCTCTCTCTTTTCCTCCTGCCCCTCTCCCCCCTCCCCCTCCAACAGGATTTCCAGAACACCTTTCCCTGGAGCTCCTGGGGAGCTGTGAGGTTTCTTGTTAGGGTACAAGTTAAGTATTACATACAGTTACAGGGTGGCCTGGTAACCTACTCACTGTTTTAACATCATTTCCATGGGGAATTATGGTCTGAGTCCTTAAAACAAAGCTTTTTTTAGCTTTTCCTTAAAAAACAACCTTGGTTGTGGAGCTTGGCACCTGTTACAATTGTAGGAATGGTTGTTGCAGTGTGGATAAAACATTTCAACCTAGACTTTGACCTCAGAGTATTTATATTGAAAAAAATTTAGCAGTCAAGAGCTTTTTTTAACCCTTTATCTCTATGTCTTTGTTTTTGTCTTTGTTTGAAACTGATCTGTTCTGACCTTGTAATGTTATCTCTGCAGGTCCATTTACTCGACCTCATCCGGCCTTGTGGCGAATGGTTTTTGGTAAGTTTCCCATTGATGGATTTTAAAAAATCCATTCTGCTTAAGAAAAAAATCTTTATCTGTGTATTTTTATAGCAGTTTTCCTTTCCACTCTACTGTAAAACTTTCCCTTTTTGGTGTTGCTGATACCAATTTTTAGTTGAAATGCTTTGCCACAAAATAAAGTGCTTGGTGGCAGCTTGAATTCTCGTACATGTGAACTGTTTCATCCCCACCTGCCCGCTTCGCACCCTGTGGTCTGTTAAAGCTGATGGGATTTGACGTGAGGGAAAGTGGTTTCTTGCTGTAGCTCTTTGCTAGTTCAAGTTCACGTGCGTCGTTTGAGCACGTTTGTCTTGTCAGCATCCGGGAGAGTCTGAAAGCCCAGCCATCTCCCCAGTGCTGGGAATGGGAAAGAAGTCTTAGCAGAGAGCCCTGATTTGAACTGAGGTTTAGTGATAAGCATCTTGTATAAACACTGGACATCTTGTGTTTACTCGATTTCTAGTCCAAATAGTGGATTTAAAGCGTATCTTCAAAACTTCAGCTATTGGCTTTCCTCTTACCTAAATCATCATCACGTAAATTATTTGAAGTTCAGAAAATTTCATCTTATGCAAAAGGATCCTAAAAATGGAAATTTTGCTCATGCTTGCCAATTCTTCTTTCACCCTTCAGAGATCATAGGTAAATCTCACTGAATTTAGTGGCGAACCTTGGCCACTCAGCAGTCGTTCACTGAAGCCCTCTGCTTGGGTGGCAGGTGCCCTGGCCCTGAGACTGCAGTGGGAGGGGCCCCCGGGACAGAGGGCAGCTACCGCAAACACACTCTGAAACAAATCAATAGTCCAAAAATAGCAGATGTCACTCAGTGTTAGGAAGTTTATTAAAACCATGAGAGGCAACAGTGACTAAGCCCCCTTGAAGGAAGGGGGCTTAAGCAAGAAACCCCTCTGCAAAGAAGGATCCAGGCATGCAAAGATATGGAGGGAGGCCAGGCAAGACTACCAAAGTAGGAATTTCTACCCAGCTGGAAAGGGCTTTGTGTGTCCCTGGCCAGTGTGGCTGGAGTGCGGCAAGGCCCGGGAGTAGTGAGAGAGGCAGGGTGGCACGGATGGAACCCCGCAGAGCTTGTGAGGGCAGGGGAAGTCATGCGGGAGGTTTTTTTTTTTGCAGAGAAGTGCATGATTTATTTACATTTCTTAAAAGATAGTCCTGGTTGCATTATACTTATAGCTCATGGAATTAATATTGCTGTTTAAGTTATAAGATATACCTAGTTGGCTGCATCTGAGTTTTTCCTACTTCACATGGTCCGTCGTATAAGTAATGAGCAGCTGTATTTCTTCCGTGGGGTCATGGAACCCTCTGAGAACCTGATGAGGACTATATGCACATGCTCGCACATGCACACAGTTCTGCCCATTGTATCTGGGGCTTCAGGGATGTTGAAGCCCCCCATGAGCCCCAGCTTAAGAACCCCTGCCCCACAGATACTTTCTCTCTGCCTTAAAATCATTACTTCAAAAGGATCATAATAAAAAGTTTATAGTGGGAAGAGTTTGAAGTGAAAAGCTGTAAAAGTAGCTGGTACCTAAGTTCAAACCTGAGAAGGTTCTCACACCAGCTTGCCTAATGTGCACGCATGCTCCCTGGGCCCTGGGGTGCACGACTGAGTCGGCCCCCGAGCACCGAGGGCCGGGAGAGGCCCCCTCATTGGAACCCCTGGGTTGTTGCCGCTACAGGGGATTTCATTCCATCTGTGGACGTTCTCTCCTCTGGAGCAGCTCCCTGGGGATTGGTGCCCAGCCAAGTCTGGATGGGGTACTGTGATCCAAGGTCATTTGTATCACAGCGTCCAGACGTCCTACTTAAACACGTCCATTCTAGCAGGCTCGACAGGAAGGGAAGTGGCGAAGCCCTGCTGGTTGGTTTCCAAGCCTTTCTGAACTGTGTTTACAGGCTTTTGCCTTCTTAGAATAGACTGTCAACTCCCTTTTTCAAACAACTTGGGGTGATTATTAGGATACTGATGGCAATGTGATGTGACAGTAATGTCATGCCCGAAAGGGCTCACCTGGGGTGTCAGGTGAGGATGAGTGACCCTGGGCCACCTCTCACCTCTTACACCTGTCACTACCCCAGACTGGCCCGTCCACCTGCTGGCTTGCCCACCTCCAGTCTACTCTCTACACAGTGGCCAGAATTCGTTTTGTGAAATGTTACCTAGATCATCTTATTTCCCTATCTGAAACCCATCAAATGCTCCTCCTCTGACTTAAGATCGAGTCTGCGGTCTTCAGTGTGGCCCTGAGCTGTGACCATCACTTCATAGCCACCTTGCTCCATTCACCTTCTTGCCAGCACCACAGCCACATGGCAGCTCCTAGACCTCTCATCCCAGGGACCTGCCTGTCTTCTCTGCCTGCATCCACTCCTCCGCCCACACCCACAGCCACGCCCATGGTCTGCCGCTCCTTCAGCTCTCAGCTCCAGCACCATTTCTCAGAGATTGTTACTGACTCCTTCATCTGAATTGGGGCCATGTGTCAGACTCTCGTCAAAGGAAAGGCCGCTTGTAACGGGGGTGTCCACAGCCCAGGTTGCAATATCAGTGTCTGCTTTTGGCTCTACGTGAGTGGAATCCGATGTGTGTCGTGTGTCTGATACCCGATCGCTCTCACATAGGGGGATGTTCTTGTTTCCCCCAGGACTCAGCGTGCTCTACTTCCTGTTCCTGGTGTTCCTGCTCTTCCTGAACTTCGAGCAGGTGAAATCCATCATGTACTGGCTGGACCCCAATCTTCGATACGCCACCAGGGAAGCCGACATCATGGTACGTCCTCGTCAGCTGTCTCCGAGAGAAACTGGTAGACTCCTGGGTGTAGTAGGAGGCGGTTGACTTCCCATTTTAAATTGGTCCTTCTCCCTGTTTCCCACGTAGAGATCTAAAAACCAGGTCCCTGGGCAGGTTGGTGCGGTGCGTGGTGTCGTGAGTGACACAGTCCCGGGGACTGAATCCTGCTGGAGCAAAGGGGGTGGAAGGAAGAGCGTGCACGTTACACCAGGCAGCCATGGCGTGAATTCTGCCTCTGTCACTTGTAAGCTCTGGAACTTTGGGCCATGAACTTGTTAGCCTGTTCCCTTTTTGGTAAAGTGAAGTAATACTTATTTGGGGAGTTTACTGTGAACTAAGTGAAGGCCTCCACGGTGCCTCGCACCCAGCAGGTCCTCAGTGACGGCAGCGCCTCTGCTCCCCAGCTCCGGCCCCGATGCCGTGACTCCTCCCGCCAGCCTGCCAGGAAGGGGCCGGTTGTAGTGATGTCAGCCATTTCATTCATTATTTTTATTAAACCACTGCAAATGATTTTACTCTCGGCTAAAACTCTGTACTTTGGCCTTCAGTGAAGAGGCTATTTTATACTGTAGTATTGTTCCTTTCCTTTTTTACTTTTTTTTTTTTTTAAGGAGGCACTGGGGATTGAACCCAAGACCTCGTACATGCTAAGCATGCACCCTACCACTGAGCTATACACACCCCTCCCCAACTTTTTTTTTAATTCTTTAAAGTGCCTAACATTTAGTGCAGATTGAAGAAAAAGGCCTAGTGATGATCAGAAAAGAAAGGGCATCTGGGCCGTAGATGGGTCCTTGTTCAACAAATGAAAAAGCAGTACAGAAAAACGTAATTAAAAGTCCAAGAAGTGATCATTCTCACATAGTTAAAATTGCTCAGACCCTTCTTGGAATGGTGTTCCCAGATTTTCTCTTTTAACTTTTATAAAGGATACACTAAAAGGCAAAAATAAGAATGTCAGAAAGTCTTTAAAAGTCTCAAGCCTGTCTTGGAGTTCCTTACTCTGAGGAGGAGAATGCTGCAGGGTGATTTACAGCTGATAAGGATGCTGAAGATGATGGTCATGGTGAGGGTGGTAGCGGCTGCTGGGTGTGGGTTGTCTGCCCTGCCAGGCCCTGTGCTGAGTGTTGCATGTGCAGTCTATGTATTAATATTCCCTCTTTACTGAGGAGGAGTTAGAAGCTTAAAATAAGATCCCTTTAGGTCCAAAACCTATACTTTCCCTTAAGACTGTGCCTTAGGCGTATGGTTGTAATAACAAGTGTTAGGCACTCGCTGCAGCCACATGAAATAGAGGCTGGGAGGAGGATGGCCCTGATTATATCCCCCCACCGTTTTCCTGGACTTCTAAGCAAAGTTGGTCGTATTATGAAGTAAACGAACTTGCGGGCAGGTTTGCTGGTGTGTCTCTTGGTCCTGCTCTCGCAGCCGGTGGGAGGAGGTTGAATCTAATTATGGCTGGATATCCACCTTCCTTAGGAACCTGACATCACAGGGACATCTGATTGTCACAATTACAGCCCTCGAAGAGCTGAAACTGGTGTTTAAAATCTAGTTCTCAAGGACTGGCTAATTCTTTCTTGCCAAGCAAAGCCAAGTCTGAGGCTGTTTTCAGCTTCCAGAGTTGCAGCTGGTGCTAGACCAGCCCCAGTCTTCTCTTTCTCTCATCCCTCGTCACTTTTTACTTCCTTCAAGTCATCTTTCACAGTTCTAAGAACCTGTTCATTGATGGCTCTAGAGAAACGACTTCCCTTTTTAGACCTCGTTGGAAGGACAAGTACCCTTATGCAAGACAAACGCCTGTAGTTCCTTGGACCCTCTGCCCT